TATTATTCAGCCAGACTCTGGAGCTTTTTCTATGTTTGTCTGCCCTCTTTGTCATCTTCTGTCACACCAAACCCCAGTTTCTGTCTTCCTAACTTAGTGAGACTTGTGTGCTCTGTTTGTGCCGACTCTCCCTGCTTCCTGGTTCAGAAAGTACATCCAGGCAGGAAGCCAGGCCCATCACAGGACTCATATCCTCAGGTTTTCTGCTTTCAGGAGTCATAGTCTGGTGTTCTCTGTTGTCAGATGTCTAAAAACTTTTTGTCCAGTTTTCTAGGTTTTTGTAGGGGGTGGATAAATGTAGCTTGCTGGGACTGGAGGTCTTGATGACAACTGGAATGCTTTGAAAGCCTTTGAACAAGATAGTCAGGCTTCAAGAAGATTTCAGGTTATTGTTAGAAATGAGCATCTATATTAATATGCCACTTGACCTTGGTAAAATCAACATTTTCAGGTTACAAAGCTCTGTTGTAGCCTGTTCTATTAGTTTATAGATTGTAAGGGTTTATGGTGTGTATGTGAAATGTTTTAAGAGTCTTAGTGCTATAATAATTGCCATTTGCTAAGATTGTTAAGTTAAAAAAATTGTTGGGGATCTAAATGAGTTTTGGGATAGTTATGTGCAGGTGCTCTACAACACAGCTAACTGCCTGGGTTCAAATTCTGGCCCACCATCTATTAGCTTATTACCTCTCGAAAGCCACATAAAGTCACATTCTTTTCAGTATTAAAATTTCCTATCTTGGGAAAATAATTTTAACCCCTCATAGGATTATTGGGAGGATGCAGTGGTAGTTTACATTGTGTGTGTGTGTGTGTGTGTGTGTGTGAAAGAGGGAGGGAGGGAGGGAGGGGGAGAGAGAGAGAGAGATTTAAGAATATTTAGATACTAAGTGCTAAATATTTAATTATTGTCACTGTTGTGATTATAGTATCAAGGAATTGAGTTTGTATTTATATTAAGATTTAATACGCTAAGCCTTGAATTTGCTTTTTCTGATAATTTTAATTGAAACATCCCATACTTTTTTTTAAATTTTTTATTTATTTGACAGGTAGAGTTACAGTGAGAGAGAGAGACAGAGAGAAAGGTCTTCCTTCCGTTGGTTCACTCCCCAAATTGCCACCGCGGCCGGTGCTGCGCCAATCTGAAGCCAGAAGCCAGGTGCTTCCTCCTGGTCTCCCATGCGGGTGCAGGGGCCCGAGCACTTGGGCCATCCTCCACTGCCTTCCCGGGCCACAGCAGAGAGCTGGACTGGAAGAGGAGCAACCAGGACTAGAACCCGGTGCTCATATGGGGTGCTGGCGCTGCAGGTGGAAGATTAACCAAGTGAGCCATGGTGCCAGCCCCCACATCTCTTGCTTTTTAAACTCTGTATCTCTTTTTGTAAGTTACAAAATAATGGATAACACATATATACCACACAGCATTAAAAGTAGACTATTACTGTTGTGCTCATTGTCATATCTGGAACTCTTGCCCTCAAATATCCTGTTCTCTCTCCTGTCTTGAATTTTCTTTTCTTTTTTTAAGTATTTATTTATTTAAAATTTAGAGTCAGAGAGAGAGAGAGAATTTCCATCTGCTGGTTACTGCCCCGTTGGCTGCAATGGCTAATGCTGGAATAGGCTGAAGCCAGAAACCAGGAGCTTCATGTAGGTCTCCCACTTGGGCCATCTTCCACTGCTTTTCCCATGCCATTAATAAGGAGGTGGCTAAGAAGCAGAGCAGCTGGGACGAGAACCAGTGCCCATGGGGAACGCTGCCATTGCAGGCCACAGCCTTACCTGCTAGCTGCAGTGCCAGCCCCTTGAGCTTTCTTTCCTTGTTGCCTTGCATTCTTAAAAATAGTTTCACTGTGAATTGGGTTAGATGTAACATTATACAATTTAGTTTTTAATGTCTTTAAAATTTCACATAGATATATTCTTCTGCCACCTGGTTGTTTTGCTTGATGTTATTATTTTTACAATCTATTCATGTTGGTGCATGTAACCATAGTATGTTTGCTTTTATTACTGTAGCGCATGTTTCTTATTTCCAGGTTACAAACAGTACACTCTGCATGTTTCTGTGCATGTATCCTGGTATACATGTGCAAGAGTTTCTCTGGATATGTGTCTAGAAGCAGATACTTCAGATGGTAATCTTCAATTGGCTGCTGGCTGAAGCAGACCAGATTGGGAATGAGTGTTTTAATAGGCCAGTTAAGGGATTATGAGAAATTAAGCAAGAATGATTGCCAAGTGATAGAGGGAAGCAGATGAATTAGAGATTCTATTTGGAAATAGGATAATCAGTAGGTTTTGAGGGTATATTTCATAAAGGGTTGCAGGGTGAAAAGAGGGAATATGAAGGCTGACCTCCAGGATTTTAAATCAAGATTCCATTTACTGAAATGGGAACTGCTTCAACAGATAAGAGGTGTGTTTATTTTAATTCACACCTGGACTTTTAATAGACTTTATTTTTAAAAGTAGTTTTAGATGCACAGCAAAATAAATCGAAGTTCAAAGATTTCCCAGTATACCCCATCCTCTCACAAGCACAGCCTCTCCCACTATCAACATGGCAAACCAGCGTGGCACATTTGTTACAGTGAAGCACCTATACTGACCCATTGTTATCTGCTGGAGTCCATGGTTACTTAGGGGTCATTCTGGATGCGGTACTTTCCATGGGTTTAGACAAATCCATAGACATGTATTGCCAGTGCTGTATCATGAAGAATAATTTCACAGTGCTAAAAATGCTCTGTGCTCTCTGCCAATTCATTCCTCTCCTCCATAACTTATGTCTGGAAACCACTGATCTTTTTACTATCTGCACAGGTTTGCCTTTTCCAGATTGTCATATAGTTGGAATCATGGAGCCTTTTCAGACTGGCTTCTTTCACTTAGTAATTTAGGTCATTTAAGTTTCTTCCTTGATTTCATGGCTTGATAGCTCTTTTTTTTGTTGTTTGTTTAAGTGGTGAATAATATTCCATTGTCTGAGTATGTCAGTTTATCCATTCACTGATTGAATGTCCTCTTGGTTGCTTCTAAGTTTTGGCAATTTTGAATAAAACTGCTCTAGACATCTTTGTGCAGCTGCTTGTGCACATGTATCAGTGGGGATAACAGCTGGATCCTATGGTAAGAGTATGTTTATTTTTTGCAAGCAATTCCCAAAGTAGCTGTCCCATTTTACATCCCCACCAGCAATTAATGAGAGTTTCTATTGCAATACATCCTTGCCAGCATTTTTTTTTTCTTCAGTGTTCTGGATTTTGGCTTTTTAATGGGTATGTCATGGTGTCTTATTATTTTAATTTGCATCTCCCTGGTGACATATGATGTAGAACATCTTTTCATAGGCTTATTTGCCATTTTTTGTATCTTCAGTGAGGTATCGGCTAAGGTCTTTGGTCCACGTTTTAATCAGCTTCTTTTCTTACTGTTGAGTTTTAAGAGTTCTTTGTATATTTTGAATATCAGTTTGTCAGTCTCTGATCTGTCTTGCAAACATTTTCTGTCTGTGGCTTTTCCTTTTTTTTTTTTTAAATTAAAGATTTACTTATTTATTTGAAAGGCAGAGAGACAGAGAGACAGAGAGAGAGATCTCCTCCATTCTCCAGTTCACTCTCCAAATGACCACAACAGCCAGGTCTGGGGCAGGCAAAAGCCAGGAGCCAGGGTCTCCCACATGGAATGCAGAGTCCCAAGTACTTGGGCCATCATTTGCTGTCTTCTCATTTGCATGAAACTTGCATCCAATGCATTGTAATTGCCACACTCTGATAAGGGATGCCAGCATCACAAACAACAGCTTAGTCTGCTGTGCCACAATGGCAGCCCCTCAGTCTGTGACTTCTCTTCTAGTTGTATGATAGTATCCCTCACAGAACAGAAAATTTTAATTTTAATGAAGCCCAGCTTACCAGTTCTTCTTTCATGGTTGGGTCTTTGGTGTTGTATATAAAAAGTCATTGCCAAACCCAAGGTCAACTAGCTTTTCTCCTATATTGTCTTTTAGTAGTTTTATAATTTTACATTTTACATTTAGGTTTGTTATGCATTTGGAGTTATTTTTTGGAAAGTATGTAGGTCTGTGTCTAGATTCATTTTCTTTGCCTGTGGATACATACGATTTTACAATGTCATTAGCCACCATTCCTAATATCAGTGTGCTTGCCTTTGGAGAGCTCTGTTCTCTTTCTGGTATGCTCTTAGAGCAGATCTAAATGGTTTGCAGTTACATGTAATGGCATTGAACAAGGACCCAGAGGACTCCCTTGCAAATGGCCTGAGATTTGCACTTTTTAATCTTTGGGTTGTGTCCAGTTCTGAGCTGTATTAGTTGAGGTTGCTAGTTTTAGCTACGTTTTGGGTAGGTAATGTTTGATCTTACTAAGGCCTTTTCCGTATTTAAATAATTTAAGTGCAGTGACATTTGGAGGTAAAAGATCATAATTTATATCATAAAGATGGGGAAATAAGGGAAATGGCAAATGATAAATCTGAAAGTCTGGATTTGAATAGTGGCCCTGCTAATGATGAGCTATGTGTTAGTTTCCTATTACTTCTGTAACAAATTACCTCAAGTCAAGTGGCATAAACAACACAACATTTTTATCTTGTAGTTCTAGAAGTCAGAAGTCCACAGTGGGCCTCACTGGACCAGAATCAGGTGTCTGCACAGCTGCTTTCCTTTGGAGACTCTGGGAGAGAATCAATTTCCTTGCCTTGTCTAGCCTCTCTGGGGCCACCCACATTCCTTGGCTCGTGGCCTCTCCTCCATCTTCAATGCTAGAAGGTGTCTCAGGTTGCCTTTCCTGCTTCTCCCTCTGCTTTCCACCTCTCTGACTTTTAAGACCCTGTGATTGCACGGACCCACTTGCATCATTCATTTTAATCTTCTAGTTTAAAGTAGGTAATCTTAATTCTATCTGTAACCATAATTCTCCTTTGCCATGAGAAGTAATGTATTCACATGCTCCAGGGATTAGGATACACGGACATCTTCGGAGAGGTTGTTTTGCCTACTTGCAAGCAGGTTGCTCACAGACAGCCATGTGGGCAATTTGAACTACTTTCTTATTGGTAAAATGAGAATAATACCATCAACAACTGCTTAAAGATTTAGGTAAATGTTGTTTCAGAACACTTTTAGAAATACAGACATTTTACAAATGTTAGAGTTTACACTGAATCCAGTAAATGTTATGGAAAGACGTTTTTTTTTGGACAGGCAGAGTTAGAGAGAAAGGTCTTCCTTCCGTTGGTTCACCCCCTAAATGGCCGCTACGGCTGGCACGCTGCGTTGATCCAAAGCCAGGAGCCAGGTGCTTCCTCCTGGTCTCCCATGCAGGTGCAGGGCCGAAGCACTTGGGCCATCCTCCACTGCCTTCCCAGGCCACAGCAGAGAGCTGGACTGGAAGAGGAGCAACCGGGACAGAATCCGGTGCCCCAACCAGGACTAGAACCCAGGGTGCCGGTGCCGCAGGTTGAGGATTAGCCAAGTGAGCCGCCGCGCTGGCCTGGAAAGACATTTAAGGTGTCTTATTAATCTACTGTGATCTTGTATCTGCGTGTAAGTGACAGACCTATGGCTCTAATGGAAACATTGAAAGGTGAAATTGTGTCTATATAAAAAGGAAGCTCCCTTCGTATAAGTTACAATGATATATATGGGAGACTTTTTTTTTTTTTTCTTTCTGTCAGGCAGAGTTATACAGTGAGAGAGAGAGAGTTATAGACAGTGAGAGAGACAAAGAGAAAGGTCTTCCTTCTGTTGGTTCACTCCCCTAATGGCTGCTACCGCCAGCACTACGCTGATCTGAAGCCAGGAGCCAGGTGCTTCCTCCCAGTCGTATATGGGAGACTTCTATCAAAGCTTCTTATAGATGATCAGAAATCACTTAAAGAGTTTAATACTTTCCTGTACTTTACTTTCCACAACCTTGAAAAATATTGTTAAGATGGAGATTAAGAACTAGGTAGAAGGGCCAGCATTGTGGTATAGCAGGTAAAAGCCTCCACCTGCAATGCTGGCATCCCAAATGGGTGCCAGTTTGGTCCTGGCTGCTCCACATCCCATCCAGCTCACTGCTAATGGCCAAGAAAAGTTGTGGAAGATGGCCCAAGTGCTTGGGCCCTTGCTGCCCATGTGGGAGACCTGGAAGAAGCTTCTGGCTCCTGGCTTCATCTGAGGAGTGAGCCAGTGGATAGAAGATTCATTCATTCATTCTCTCTCTCTCCTCTTTCTAACTCTGACATTCAAATAAATAAAGCTTAAAAAAGAAAACCAAATAACTAGGTGGAATGGGCGCCGGGTTCTGTGCTGGTTGCTCCTCTTCCAGTCCAGCTCTCTGCTGTGGCCCGGCAGTGGAGGATGGGCCAAGTGCTTGGGCTCCTGCACTCGTGTGGGAGACTGGGAGGAAACACCTGGCTCCTCGCTTCAGATAGGTGTAGTTCTGGCCGTAGCAGCCATTTGGGGGTGAACCAACGGAAGGAGGACCTTTCTCTGTGTCTCTCTCTCTCACTGTCTAACTCTGTCAAAACACACACACATACACACACACACACACAGAATTGGGTTGAGCGCTAATCTAAGGGAATGAGAATTTGTTGAAGGATTTTAAACTGCAAATGACATGAAATATGTTTAAAAAAATCTAGATGGAGATATTATAGAGGTATTTATGCCACAGTTATAAATGTGGTCTAATCTTAATGCATTTTTAAAATAAATATCAAAGAGAACTCTAAACCTGAGGCCTTTAACTCAAATGTATAACTTTATAACCTTAAATATATAGACAGTTGCTCCTCACTTGCAATGCAGTCATGTCTTGATATACCCATTGTAAATTGAAAACATCACATCAAAAAAGCATTTGTTAGATATAGCCAACTGATGCCTTACCTTGGCAACACATGGGCAGTAGAGTTTTGATGATTCAACCTGGTGATCAAGTGGCAGACTGGAAGCCACGTTGGCTGCCACTCCTCAGCATGCAAGATCAAAATTTGAAGTACGAATTCTACTGAATGTACATTGCTTGCAGTCACTGTAAAGTCAAAAATATGTTAAGTCAGTCATAAGACGGTAACTGTCTATATGCACGTTTCTAAAAGTGTAAAAATGAAATTAAAAGATACGTTGGTTCGGGTACAAAAGATATTTTTTAATTTCACTGTTTTTATTTTTTTAAACTTTTATTTAATAAGTATAAATTTCCAAAGTACAACTTTTGGATTATAGCAGCTTTTTCCCCCCATAACCACCCTCCCACCCACAACCATCCCATCTTCCACTCCCTCTCCCATCTCATTCTTCATCAAGATTCATTTTCAATTATCTTTATATACAGAAGATCAATTTAGTATATACTAAGTAAACATTTCAACAGTTTGCACCCATACAGAAACACAAAGTATAAAGTACTGTTTGAGTACTAGTTATACTGTTAATTCACATAGTGAACTTCCTGTGATCTTCTACTGGGAGATTTTCTTCCTTTACCTTCTTTCATAATGATGGCCGTGTTTCTGTGTGTAACACATCTTTAAGCATCTTTTGCAGGGCTGGACGAGTGGTGACAAATTCTTTCAATTTCTGTTTGCTATGAAAGCTCTTTATTTCACCTTCCTTCACAAATGAGAGCTTTGCAGGATATAATATTCTGGGATGGCAGTTTTTTTCTTGTAGTACTTGGGCTATATCTCACCATTCCTTCCTAGCCTGTAGGGTCTCAGATAAAAAGTCTGCTGTGAGTCTAATTGTAGATCCTCTGAGAATAATCTGACGTCTCTCTCTTGCACATTTTAGAATATTTTCTTTCTGTTTCACTGTGGTGAGTTTAATTACAACGTGTCGTGGTGAGGATCTCTTTTGGTCATGTTTACTGGGGGCTCTATGAGCTTCGTGTACTTGGATGTCTCTTTCCTTCTCCAAACCCTGGAAGTTTTCTGCTAGTATCTCACTAAAAAGGCCTTCTAATCCTTCCTCTTTCTCCAAGCCTTCAGGAACTCCTAGAACCCGAATTTGGGTTTTTTAATAGTATCCTATAGATTCCCAACAATATTTTTTAGATTTCTAATTTCATCTTCTTTTCTTTGGTTTGACTGTGCTCTGTCTTCTAAGTTCAATATTCTGTCTTCTACCTCACTGATTCTGTTTTTTAAGGCTCTCAAATGTGTTTTTCATTTGTTCTGTTGAATTCATTTCATTTTGATTTCTCATCAATATCTCAATTTCATGTTCTACTAAATTCCTCATTTCATTTTGATTCCTTCTTAAGATTTCATTTTTATGAGAGAGATTTTCTGTCCTGTCCTGTATGGATTTCTGTAGTTCATGCATTTGTTTTTGATCACTTCTAAATGTTTTTATCATAATTTTTTTGAATTCTGTATCTTGCATTTCTTCTGTCTTTTCATCTTCATGATCTTGTATTGGAGTGTCATGTTCATTTGGGAGCATCATGATGTCTTCCTTGTTCTTGTTTCCTCGGTTTTTGTGTTTGTTTGGCATTGTGGAGATATTCTTTGGTTTCCTCTTTTTTTTTTTTTCTTCGCTTTGGTGGCCTTTCTCATTATACTATGACTCTAGATTAAGTGGACTGTCTGCTTTTGGTGAATCTCTAGAGGCTTGTGGTGGGTGTGGCCAGAGAGCTCTGTTCAGTTCTTCAGGGTTAAGGGTGTGTCAAAGGTGACATACCCAGGTTTGGCATGGTGAATCTTCTCTCCCTCTTTTTTTTTTTTTTTTAATTCAGAAGGGAAGTAATTCCACTCAGCTGAGCTATTCTCCTTGAAGGCAATCAGTACCTGAGCGCTAGCCCCAGTGGGTATAATATTTGTCTGCTCTGTCCCAAGGACCACACAAAGGATCTGTGCAGTCCTCAGTGTAAGCTCAGGTTCCCCTGCAGTGTCTCTCACTGGGTAGCCAAGGTTACCAAGTTTGTGGCATCTCACCTGAGACTACTCAATTCTGAACCACACTGTGAGTTCTCCCACACACCCTCAGTCCCCCCCCCCCCCCCCCCAAGCCCCGGTTCATAAGCTCCACACATTCACTAGGTCTTAGTCTCCTGTTATTATTCCAAACCAGAGTCAAGTTTTTCTGTTTGGTTGAAGGTGGGCGCAGCCCTGAGCTGGCACAGCTGTTACATATGTCCAAAATGGCGCCTGCTCTATTGTCTTGCACACCTTTGTAAGGTGTGTGGAGAAAGAGAATCATGTCTGTACTGCCCCTTTTGTTTTTTTCTCTCCTCTATTTAGGCTGGTGAACTTTCCCCCACGGGGCTTCAAGCCTCGTTCCCTCTAGGTTCTTCCTGCCGCTTTTCCGCCAGTGTCTTGGGCTACTGTGGTTTCACCTCACCTCCATTTCCACTGCTGGTGTGGCGGAGAAGATTCTCGGCAGTTGGGCTCCCGAGCCGTGGGTGCCCGTGTCTTCCACATAGATCCACCGTGTCCCTCTAATTCCGGAAGAGTTCTCTCTGCAGTTTTTCCCCTAACTCTTCCTTGAGACGTCACTATTTCCACTTTTATTAAACTATCTTTTCCTGGACTATCAGTGTGCTCCCTCCTTATTCCACCATCTTGGAGCCTCTCAAGATTTTAAAATCCATACATAAGCTTTTTGAATACCCCTCATATGCATGGATTTCCAATTTTTTGCACCCAAATAAACTGATTGTTTGTAAAACATGTATTTATTCAGGAGACAGAGGGAGAGAGGCAGACAGAACACCCATCCACTGGTTCATTCCCTACATGCCTGGAACATCCGGCTGAAGTCAGAACCCAGGAACTCAGCCCTAGTGTCCCACATGGGTAACAGGAACCTAACTGTTTGAACCTTTACCTGCTGCCTTCAATGGTGCACATTAGCAAGAAGTTAGAATTGGGAGAGGAGACAGAACTTGAACCCAGGCTGTCTGGATATGGGATACTGGCATCTCAAGCAGTGGCCTAACTGCTGAACCAAATACCCGCCCCCTTCCATGAACTTTTTGAAGTACGCTTGTATGTATATTTGTGGATTCGATTGACCCTACATGTCCACAGGCTTTGTATCCTCAGATTGAACTAATCAAGGCTCAAAATATTTGAAAGAAAAGTTGCATCTGTACTGAAAATGTGCAATATGCATAACTTTTTTCTTGTTATTAGTCCCTAAACAGTACAGTTTAGCAGCTATTTACATAGTATTTAAATTATATTGGAGGCCAGCACCATGGCTCACTTGGCTAATCCTCCACTTGCGGCGCTGGCACCCCAGGTTCTAGTCCCAGTTGGGGCGCTGGGTACTAGTCTCAGTTGCTCCTCTTCCAGTACAGCTCTCTGCTGTGGCCCAGAAGGGCAGTGGAGGATGGCCCAGATGCTTGGATTCCTGCACCCGCTTGGGAGACCGGGAAGAAGCACCTGGCTCCTGGCTTCGCATCGGCGCAGTGCTGGCCGTAGCAGCCATTTGGGGAGTGAACCAACGGAAGAAAGACCTTTCTCTCTGTCTCTCTCTCACTGTCTATAACTCTCTGTCTCTCTCACTAACTCTGCCTGTCAAAAAAAAGTTAAAATAATTATATTGGATATTATAAGTTTTGTGGAGCTGATTTAAAGAATATGTTAGTTTATATGCAAATACTGTACCATTTTATAGATCAGTTATGAGCACTCAAAGATTTTGGTATTCTCAGAGGATCCTGGAACCATTTCCCCAAGATACCAAGGACCAGTTGCATTTGTTTTCCCCTCCTAGCAAAGTAAGTCTCTTTAAGTTGAACTAAACACAAGTTGCTTTATGATTATAAGGTCAATTCCTGGCTCAGAGCTTTGAATCATTTTTTACTTTTGTAACATTTTGCTCTCCACAGAGTATATAATGATAGGTAGAGGTGAGTGATGGAAAGGTTGTACCACAGTGAAGGAAGTAGCCACTTGGATTTGTCCCGCAGTTCTTGGGAGTATGTGTCCAGGAGAGACATGAGGACTGGCATAGTCTTCTGGAAGCCAACACAGTTCAAAGTTGGTTTTCTGGGTCTTGGTCTTATAGCTTTAGGGATTTTATGGCTTTTCATGGGTGTGTTTGGAAAAGAAGTGTTCTCATTCCTTGCTTAACCTATGCGAATAATCCTCCAGGACTTTGATCACCAGGAAGAGGGCTGTGAGACTGTCATCTGTCCTCCAGATGAAAGGCCCTTCTTGCATCCTTACTTTACAGAGATGGGGCCACAACTTTTTGGTTATTTCAAGCTTGTGCTTCTAGAAAGGATCTTTTAGAGAATTCTTATGACTGTTTTTTCTTCTTTTTGGTTTCTTTTCAGTGATAGAAAACATGGCCAGCTGTCACGTAGATTGCTGTAGGTGGTTTGGGGTTTTCCTTACCTGCCTTTGGGCTAGGGTTACCTGTCAATTTCTGATTGAACTGAGTTGGCCTTTAATTTGATCTTGTCTCCGTGTTATGTTGGGGGTATGGGTCAGGGCTGGGGACTGCTGAGCCAGAATTTAGTTGTGCAGCCATCCTTTTAGTTCACATCCTTTTCTGAATGCCTGTTCCGGGTGTCCTGACTGAAGTTTCTGAAATGTCTGAGATAATTCCCCTTAAGAATAAGGCTGTAAAGTTATATTACTATTGTTCTAAGCAAAATTAGCATAGAAAGCAAATTTTCAATAGAAAATAAAGTTTGAGAGTAAATAGATCTGTGGAATTTTGTAACTGCTGTGTTCTGTGATAGTCTGTGTGGTTAATCACTGAACAGATGTAAGGGTGAATTTCATTGTCCCCTTGGAACATATTTCACCTGTATCTTAGCTGTTTATTAAGGGATTTAAGAGGCTGTGTATCTTCCTTAAGAGGACTGAAAAGGGACTTGCAGTGGCCTATCTGTTTTCATTGCAGCATTAGATAAAGTTAAACCATTTTTGTGAATGTTGAAAGTGCAATATTGAAAGTATCCAGTTTTCTAGCCATTTGTGCACATTAAAAATAACTCGCTATTCATGTTCAGTGGTTTTCTTGTTAGACAATGTAGGGGACTTGCCACAACACATGCATCAGATTATAAAA